ATTTGTTTTTTTAATAGAGTATTAACTGGTGAGGAAAATGAGGGGAAAAAGTCAAGATCTTAGATGCTACAGACACTGATAATCAACTTATTTAGATAAAATGTCTCTGAAATGATAACTCAGTCAATGTGAAAACTCCATTCCATTTACATAGAATTTTTTTTAAAAATATAAGCCACCTGGTAATGATAATAAAAAAGTGTTAATAAGAATAGCTAATATATACAATATATACTCCGTGCCAGGTATTCTTCGAAGAACCTTGCATATATTATCTTATTTAATTCCTACAATAATCTTATTTTTTTAAATTATTTTTTATGGGATGCTTCACGAATTTGTGTTTCATCCTTGAGCAGGGGCCATGCTAATCTTCTCTATATTGTTCCAATTTTAGTATACGTGCTGCCAAAGCGAGCACTCTACAATAATCGTATGAGACAGTTATTATTACTATTTGTATTTTGCAGATAAGAAATTGAAGCACAGAGAAATTAAGTAATTTGTCCAAGGTCACACAATCAGTGATAGTAACGTACTCTAAAACTACCAGTTTAAATATGGTTAAATTTAAAAAGTGCACCTGTAGGATGAGCAAGACCTTATACTACCTGCCATAGGGGAACACGCGCAAACATATTTTCTTTAAGGAATTTTAAGTCTAGACAAATATCATTAAAAGTTAAATATTAATATGAGTTAAGTAAAAGTTCCAGGCAATCTTTTTTAAAAAACCTACGGATGTACCAAAGAATGCTTTAACTTCCTTAAACTTTCCGTTTTACAACCTGACATTTTTCAGTAATATTCTATATAAATGAGCACATGTACTACTTAACTCCGTCATTGCTAAAATTTTCCACTGCAATTAATGATTTCTACAGAAGTTATGCTTACATCATAGCCATAAAATATGCATATGAGGTTGAAGCATCAACACAAAAATCAACAACAATATCCTGGATTAAGCAAGTGCATTTCAAATCACTGTAGTGGACCCACCCTTCAGCTCCACAGAAGCCAGATTCTCTGTTCCTACAGGTATCCATCACCAAAAGGCGCCCCCTATAGGCAGGAATTCCAGGCACATCCTGGCAACCAACTCTAAAGGGCCCTTTCATCTGCCCATATTCTGTCTGCCTGCACCCAACTGATGGGCATAATGAGGTATCTCAGAAACAATTCAGTTGGCGGGACCCATATTATTTTTTATCAAAATTGATGAGATTAATTTACGGCTTTGCAATCACTAAAAAAACCTTACTCAAAATAATTAGTTTGACCCTTTCTACCTGAAAACATGGGCTGACTGACCAACCTTTTTCATTTTCAACCAATTCTGTTGGCATCTTTTAAATGCAATCAGAAGATAAATGCTGCCCCATTTCCTTGTTTTTCATTTTTCTTGGCCTCTTTGTCAGGATGTGGATATAAATATTACTTTGTATAAAATGGAGCTGGTTGGAAATGTTTCAGTTTTAAGAAGGTAAGAACATAAATATCTTGCATTAGCTCTTCTTTCAATTGCGGTAAAAACATTTTTAAATCTTTCCTAGGAGTTAGTGATTTGTTTGCTGCTGTCAGTGTTAAGGTAACATTAACTTCTGTTCCAGGTAATGCCCCAAATCTCAGTAGCTTAATCCAGTGGAAGTTTATTACTCATTCACAGAAAGTCAGTCACCCGTAGAGGCCCAGGCAGATAAAGGCTCCGCCAGTGGCAGACAAGAGAAGAAAAAAGAACGTGGACAATTGGGAGGCAGTTTTATGAGCCCTGTCTGGGAGTGACACATAGCACCTTCCCCGGACCAGAATTTAGGCTGTGGCCTCATAGAGCTTCAGGAAGAAGGTACAGGGAAGGCAGGGGCTGGCAGATGTAGTCCCCAGCTCTATACCATGGAAGGCAAGTGCCAATTTTTCGGTGAAATAACAAGTAGCCACCTCTGCTACAAGTGCTAAATTCTGAGAAATTATATCTTAGAAAGGGTGACCTTTGACCTGCTTTTTTAAAAATAAATGTTTTATGAAGCTTACATAAAGTAATTAATTTCAGTAAAAGAAATTAAATCAGTATCTGTTGGTTGAGCACTTACTATGTGCAAGTTTCTTGATAAAGCCTGTGGGAAAGTGGAGGGAAGGGACAAGGATACCAAGATGAATGAAACACAGTCCATCTCTTCATGAAGCATGGCAAGGAAATGAACTTTCGTGTACATTACATAGATGTAATTTAAATCATAATTTTATTATACTTATAGAAAAAAGCAAGAAAAATGTCTCTAAAGGAAATATTGGTTTTATTTTTCTCATTCAACATTTTCACTATAGACAATTCAAAAAATACAAAAAGGTTCAGAAAAAAAAACAACTTTGTATGTCCCTAATCTATCACACAGAAGTAATCATGTTTTGAATATTTTTCCTTTCAATATTATACATACACATATTTGAAAAGTTATTTCTGTGGGGCTGAGTTTCAAAGCACTGAAGTTAAAAACATCAGTTGACCTGAATTTACGTGTTTGTAATCATGAAGAAATCCAAGAAAGGATGCCAAAATAAACTGTTTTTCTTTGCTGGAATCTGGAACACTAAAGTTCATGATTTATCATTAAAAGAGAGAGAGAGAAGAGGGAGGGGAATGGTTACACCAACTTTTGAACCCCTAACAAATAAATGAAAACATGTTGTTGCAAAAACAGTCACCATAAAAATGCACTGAAATCCCCTACGTTTATTCAACATACAGTGTGTGCAAGGACCACCAGAATGTGTTATAGGAGAAATGGTTGAAAGGCCAGTGACATTAGGAGAATTTTTTTGGCAGTAATAACAGTCCAAAGGCAATTAGGCTCAGCCAGGAGCTTTCTCCATCACTGGAAGACTTGGAGCAAAAAACCGGAAGCCTTTTCCTCTGAAATGCTGAAGAGGGGATACAAATGTTGGATAGGAGACAGAAAGGTGCCCTAAAATCCTTTCCCACCCAGGGTGCATACACGTATACCACACGTATGGCCAAACACATGGTTCGTGCAGAAGGGACTCCAGAGCAGACCTTACTGGAGCGGTTTGGGTTTATATAGGCTTTGATAAAACTGGCCCAATCAGAAGATCTCCTAGTTAGCTTATTGGCCAGAAACAGGCTTTCCTAGCTCTGGGGCAGCCAGGAATTAAATACATCATAGACTGCCCAGACACTGCTGGAACTCAAATGGGTGCAGGAGTGGAGGGGAAGGTGGAGAACCAGGCAGGAAGTTATAGGACACCCAGGGAAGCCACGGGTGTCTTTTCAGGGGCTCAGAAGCAGCCCCAATGTTGTATATATAAAGGGCTGGTCTGAGTACCAAACAATTCCTTTTTTTTTTTTTTCCCTGTTTGGCAGCCACCTTCCTCTTCCCCCACCTCCTCCCATTTCAGGTCTGTTGCTGCAAAATGGTCCAAGTTCATCTCGGTTCTTTCTAATTTGGGCCATGGAGACACAACTGATATTGTATGAAAGGAATCTTAAGAAAAGATATTTCTTTGCTGCATCACTAATTCTCAATCAAAAGTTGCGTCTTTTTTTTTTTTATTTCAGCATATTATGGGAGTACAGATGATTAGGTTACGTATGATGCCCTTGCCCTCCTTCCCCCCCAAGTCTGAGCTTCAAGTGTGTCCATTCCCGTGGAGGTGTGCATCACACTCATTGTTCGTGAATATGCCCGTCCCCTCCTCCCCCCTCTCCCCTCCCCCTGCCCAACATCTAATACATGTTATTCTTATATGTGCACTTAAATGTTGATCAGCTAATACCAGTTTGATGGTGAGTACATGTGGTGCTTGTTTTTCCATTCTTGGGATACCTCACTTAGTAGAATGTGTTCTAGCTCTTTCCAGGAGTATATAAGAGGTGCTATATCACCATTGTTTCTTAAAGCTGAATAGTACTCCATGGTATACATATACCACAGTTTATTAATCCACTCATGCATTGATGGACATTTTGGTTGTTTCCACATCTTTGCAATTGTGAATTGTGCTGCATGAAAAGTTGCGTCTTCTGACTGCTCTGATCAGAGGAGTGGAACTCTAACTTTGAATGTAAGAGAAAACACATGGTGAGTAGATTGTGCCATTACGTAGGCAAAATACCTGAACTAGTCACAGCATTTTGACTTAATTGGCCATTGACGTTATAGAATCTTGTTGACTCTTTTCCTTTGTCCATTTCTCAGCCAACTCACCTTAGCTGTTTTGAAAACAAAACTCCAAGATGGCTTTGAAATGAAACTGCATCATAAACAATCGGTAGGTGTTTTTCAAAGTGGTTTCAGAGAAGTGCCACAGAGTAAGTAGGCGACCACCGAGGCTGCTAAAATATTTCCTGTCCTGACCAGGATTGCGTTTCTGGAGAATATTTAACAGGGAGGGTTTTAATGCGTCTAAGGATGTTGAAACTAAAGAACAAATATTGACCAGAGGGCACCACGACTCTCCTGAAAGAGAGTAAAATACATCCTTTATAAAATGAAAACTACTTGAAAGAATTATTCCAAAACCCCTGCACAGCTGGCCCTCAGAGGGCGCAGGGGCCAATTTGGCATGGCCAGGGCCTGGGCACACGCGCCAGGCAGCATCGCAGGTCCCCTCGCTCTGTGAGGCCACCGTTTTCCCGCCAGGTCGACTAGAGCCTCTAGCCAGAGCAACTGGGCCCGGAGGCCACCCCAGGCCGCAGCTGGCGGCCGCTGGCACAAGTGCTGGATGACTGGGCCAGGGCTTGGCCCCAGGCTCGCCGCCGCTGGCGAGTTTTGGCTCCGCCGAGGCCACCCCGCGTGGCAGCTGCTCCAAGCTCGGGGCTGCCTCGGAGGTGAGGCCGGCCCTCGGGGACCCTCCCCGCGCCGGGCGGCGGTGAGTCAGGGCTCGTTGTGCAAGTGCTGGCCGGGCCCGCCCGGCGCCTCCCCCTCGGTCTTTCACCCCGCGCGGTTACGAAAGCGCGACCCCCTCCCCGCCGAGCTATAAAGCGGCGGGGCGGCCGGCGGCGCGCTCGCCTCCCTCGCTCCACGCGCGCCCGTACGCGGCGGCCAGGCTTGCGCGTCTCCCCGTGGTGAGCGGCGGCCTGGCGGGCCTCGGGCGGGCGGCGGGGTGGGCTCGGGGCGGCCGGGTGGCCCGGTGGCCCGGCTGCCTGGCGCTCACGGCGGTGCGTTCCCCGCAGGGCGGACTCCTGGGCAAGATGAAGTGGGTGTGGGCGCTCTTGCTGCTGGCCGCGCTGGGCTGCGGCCGGGCGGAGCGCGACTGCCGGGTGAGCAGCTTCCGAGTCAAGGAGAACTTCGACAAGGCTCGCGTAGGTATCGGCCCAGGGGCCCTGGTGGCCCGGGTCCCCGTCCCCCCTTCCCCGCCGCCGGCCGTGCACCCCAGACACCAGACCCCTGCTCTCATCCCTTTCGCAGTTCGCCGGGACCTGGTACGCCATGGCCAAGAAGGACCCCGAGGGCCTGTTTCTGCAGGACAACATCGTCGCCGAGTTCTCCGTGGACGAGAACGGCCAGATGAGCGCCACGGCCAAGGGCCGAGTCCGTCTTTTGAAGTCAGTGACCCCTGGGCAGCTGCGCGCTTTGCGCTCCGGGGTCCCGGGGGCCTCTGCCTGCTGAGTGCCAGACCCTGACTTGGGAGGGAAGGGAGCCCCCGGGGTGGAAGGAGGGAGGAAGCCCTTTGCCAGGCTTGGCTCAGGATCCCCTTGGCTTTTGCAGTAACTGGGACGTGTGCGCAGACATGGTGGGCACCTTCACAGATACGGAGGACTCTGCCAAGTTCAAGATGAAGTACTGGGGCGTAGCCTCCTTTCTCCAGAAAGGAAGTGAGTAGTCAGCTCAATGGAACTGTCAGGGAATGGGGGCCATACCTGGCCAAATCGCTAGGTTTCTTCTCCCGTGACACCCTTGGGAAGAATGGCCTGCGGGAAGGTCTGTAAGTGGCAGGAACCCTCAGCACCGCCTGATGTTGGGGGAGGGGCGGTGATTGAAAGTAGCTAGCCTCCCCTCTCCACCTCCCCACTCAAGAAGCCTGGGCCAAGCTCAAAAGGACCTTTCAGTTTGTCAGGTGCCATTTTCCCAGCCAGCCACTGTGCCAAGGTGTGTAACCTTCATGCATTCCCCTCCTGCCTTCCACATCACCTCTCCACTTGGCTTTGTATTTCCTCCTTGTCTTTGGGATGAATCCTGGAGACAGCTTGACTACCTGGGGCCCCAGCAGAGGCTGAGAGACCCCCACCCAAAGATGGAGGGAACATTGTGCATAGAGTTGGCTCTCTCCCGAGTACCCTGCCTGCCCATGCTGAGATTCTGAGCCAGGCACAGTGTTCTGGGTGGCAGTGGCCTCTTCCCTGTCCTCCAAGCACCGAAATTCAGATTGGGAGTGGGGGTGGGGGGGTGTTGAGGACTGTTAGAAGAACATCCTAAAACTTGGCCTAATCATGAGAATGCAATATATACATGTTCTTTCTACCTTCCCTCCCCTCAACCATTTCTCCTAAGTTTCAAATCTGGGGTCTACTTGGTAGCTAGAGAATGATGTAGGCCAGTGGGTAGCTATCATAGAATCTGAGAGAGAGAGTTAACCCTACCAAGGAGGTTCAATATACAGATGAATAAACTAAGGCCAAGAGAAGGTAGTGCTTTGCCCAAGGTTATGCAACAAGTTTGTGAGAGCCAATGTTAGAAGTCAGGGGTTCCAACTCCCAGGCCAGGATTAGGTGGCCCTGAACTACAGGGACTTCTAATACAGACCACCTTTTATAAAGTATTGTGTGAGCTCTCCTGTGAGAAAGGACACAGGGGCTCTTCATGCCACTGTCTTCACAGGGCAGAAGTGTCCTTTATGTAACCTATTGCTCTGTATACGTGGCACATACTCCTTGACTTCCTCTAAAGTTGTGTGTTGGGTGAAATTTCATTTTTTAAAACCGAATTGCATTTTCAGTTTGGATTTACACTGTACAGATGAGATGAAGTTGCTACACTACAAGGGGAAAAAGCTTTTATCCTTAGAAGTAATAAAAATTATTAGTAGTACAGCAAAACTTTTCAAAGTGATTCATGTAGAGTAAGAGATACACTTTTCTGATAATGGATTACAAAAATCAATACCAGAGGTATAAGACCACTAATTTTTGGAAAGTGTAAACATATAATGCTCTATGGCATTTTGAGATGTGCTCCTTTTAAGGAGGACTAGGATGATATTGGGGGTGCCTTTAGGGACAGGGGCGGGGAGGACCCAATGAAGAGGTATAAGTTTGTCTCTTCCCTCTTTCTCCCCCTACCAAACCAGATTAGCTCTGCTTTTGCCTCTTGTATATTGGCATTTTTATCTAGGATTTTATTTGGAGGAAAAGTGAAAGTATTGAAATCTTGAAAGTGATTGCTGTAGCTATTAAGTAAGATAGCTATAATATGGAAGGCTTAAGGATAAATTCCTTCTTAGGTTACCTTTGATAAAAGAAACTGTGCAGTGTAGTGATTCAACACGTCCGGTTAAAATTAGACTGCCTAAGTTCAAATCCCAACTCAACCACTATGAGCTTCTCTGTACCTCAGTTTCCTCATCTGCAAAATGGAACAATCATAGCACCTACCTCATGGAGTTGTGTAATGAGGATGCAGGGAGTTAACATGGAGAAAGCACTCAGAACAGTGCCTGAGACATAAGTTCTCTGTAAGTTGATGTTATTGCAACTTAGTTACGTCCCTGCTCATCAAATCATAGCTTTCTATTCTGAGTCTGGAATGGGACAACCCACAGAGACCACTGGGTTCAAGTCTCTCATTTTACAAGTGAAGAAACTGAGGCCCATATTGGAGAAATGACTGACCTAGGAACACACAACTAATTAGCGGCACTCGGTGACACTTCTTAGCCCCTAGGGATGTAAAAGGCCATGAACTATTCCTCTGCTTTTTGAGTAGCTCGCAAACTGTAAGACTTGATGCATCTACCTTCCTCTGTTTTACGTGCTTGTTTTGGAGTCTTCTTTACAAAACTCTGCTTTCATTCCTTGTGCCAATTTCTTCCTTGACCTTGGTCTCGCTTTAAACACTGACTTGGACAGGCGGATTTGAAGGCCACTCAGAGAGCTGCCTGCATTCTCAGTCTCTCCCTGCTCCTCCCACTGCATCTCACCGAACAGATATGTTTTAAATGAGATGCTCTTATGGACAGAAATTAACTCGGGGCAAATGCTCATTAAATTTGTTGTCAAATTATTAAAAAATTAAATGTAACCCATCTCTGCAGTTGAACATGACATTTCCGTGTTAGGAGACTGCTATGGCTTGCCGCCCCGGCCGTGGGCATGCTTGGCACTGGCGTCCTTCCCTTCAGCTCTGCTGGCAGCAAGTGGGATGTCTCAGGGGTTAGGGATGCTGCCATTGTCAGGTTTGGGTTGAATACAGGCTAGCCTCTCCAAAACTCGATTTCCTTAGCTGTGAAATGAGGATAAAGAATAGTTCCTATTTCATAGACTTGTTGGAAGGACTCATTAAGGTAGTGCATGAAAATGCTTAGCCTGCCACATAATAAGTGCTCCATAAATACTAGCTATGATCATCATTGTTTTGGGCCCTCCCAGAAAGACATGGACAGACTCTCCTTTTGTCCTTCTCCCAGATAAAGTGTCACTCTGCTGGTCAAGGGGCCCTTGTCAGGCTGAAAAATAACGCAGGCTCGAATGTCTGCATCAGTGTTTCACAAAGTCAGGGTCCCTGGACCACCTGTATCTAAATCAGCTGGAGGGACTTGTTAAAAAATGCACATTTCTGGGCCCAAACTCAGACTTATTGAATCAGAAACTCTAGGGATAAGGCCCTGCAGTCTGCATTTTAAGTATGCTCCTTGGGTATGTTCCTTCTGCTTAATGAAGTTTGAGAACCGCTGGTCTAGATAATTCAATCCAAAGAGTTCATCTTGGCTTACTCAGGCATCAAGGCCTTGGACTCTACTCAGTTTGCTGGGATCAGTTGGGTTATTTTGACAATTAGTCAGAAATAGCATTAAAACTCTCACCTGGCTGGCTCAGCTGGACTCTTAGGCCTGAGGACCACAGGAAGCTTTTCACCTGGTCTTGTCACTTCAGACGATTGGAGGACACAAGTCTAGGGAGCTGAAGGGACGCATTCCAGGCCCACAGAAGGGAGCAACAGATCCTCAATGAAACCAGGCCACCAGAGGCAGCTCCCTCTACCAAGGGTTTTCTTTGGATTTTGGACTGGCAGTCTAGACCTCTAAACCAGTCTGTGTGGGTAGACTTCACCTGTGTGTGGGTGCAGCTGCAGTGTAACCCCACTTCCTGGGTGGTGGAGGGAGTCGGGGCTCTCTCCCCCCAGCTCCACTGCACGCAGTTAGCTGCTGTCTGGAAAGGTTTGTGGGTGTCTGGTTCTCCAGAGGAACACTGCCCAGCTGCTGGGAGTGAGGAGCTTGGAGAACCAATCTCATTCTTTCTAGCAGTACCAGGCAGTTCCTCGTCTGCCAATACTCTGAGAAGGGAGAGAGGTTGCTACGATTTAAATTCTTCATCTTTGAAGTAGTCATCCAAAAGAGCCTGGAAATTAACCAGACCAACTCAGGCCTTCTTTAAAAGTCAAGAACAGTAGCCAATTTTACTAATCCAAGCATTGAAAGTTACTTAGTTCCTATGTCAGAATTCACATTCTGGCAACAATTTTGGAAAAAAAAATTTTTTTAAGCTGCAGGTTTGCCAAGCTAATAGCTTGAGTTGAGGTAACATTTCAAAGGCGAATGTTTTTGTGTCTGAGGGGCAGGCTCCCGGGTGTCTGTGACCAGCACAGTGATCCCCATACCCAGGGAAGAAGTGACTTCATCCGGGGACAAGGAAGACTCTGCCCAGGTGCTCAGGAGCCTGGAAGGGGAGCTGGTGGTTAGGGTGAGGCCCAGCAGGCGGCCCGGTGGCCTCTATTCCTGGCCTTTCTGTGAATAACTTTGTGGTTGCTGCTGAGCTGTCATCAGTCTGGAGCATCTCCCCCCCACACCCCTGCCCAGGCTCTGACACTTACCCTGAGACAACCTGGGTGGCACGGGGGTGGCTCATTCTTCCTCCTAGCAGGCCTGGTGAGCTGAAGAGAAGGGCTCCACACCCACTCCTGTGACAGCCCTTCTGCAGGGCCTGGGTTTGGGCTGAACCCCATCCTAGGCGGCACTCCAGGGGTTCTCAGAGAGGCACACCCAGGGGTGACTTAGGGTGAGCATTAGATGTGGGTACACCCTCTAATGCCCGGGGATCCAGGCCCCTCTGTGTTCCTCAAACTGGGGCACTGTAGATCACCCCTTGCTCCAAGACCTGGGCACGGGACAGAGACATGGAGCCTTTTGTTCTTGCCCCTACCCTCCCTCTACTTACTGTCTGGAGAGGATGCGGTAAAGGGGTTAAGCACGTGGGCTCTGGAGTCGCACTCCCCAGCTTGAATCCCAGTGCTGCCCTGCTTGTCGTGACCCTAGGAGAACTATTTAATGATTCCGTGCCTCAGTTTCCTTATCTGTAGAATAAAGGATGTGAGAAATAACTGTGAGAACATATGGAAAGTGTCCGTACGGCAACTGGCACATAATTGAGTGCTCAGAAAGTCCCAGCCCTGGTTATATGTTGACAAGAGGTCAAATTAAGTAGAGTTGTGGCCCTTTTATCTGAATAAGGATATTTGCATAAACCTGAACCCTGTTCTTTCTCTGTGGCAAATTGCTCGCCTACATTCTTAATGTTTCCCTTCCTGCCTCTGTGGATATTTTTACGACCTTCAGTTAAACCTGTTCCACATGGCATATATCTCAGCCTCAAGGAATACATGTAATCCAGATTCTTCAACGGCTCAACTTTGTCTCTATCGGGGGAGCTGTGAAGAGTCCACGCTCTAAGAGGAATATCTGATGCCAGATGGTGGGCACCTTGTGCCCCCAAGGCAAAAACTCCCCTCTTGCCAGCACGGAGAAGAGAATAGAGTTACTATGCAGGAATTAGCAGGGAGTCAGAGAGCAAGACCCTGGGAGCAGCATGCGCTGGTGGATGGAGGGGCAGGAGGGCAGCATGGTTAGTGAGATGACTGAAAAAGATGCATCCTGACACTGGAGGTAACATAAGTTGGTGGCCCCCAGATATTAGCCCCAAACACACAGGTATGTTTGGAGAGTGGCTAAGACAACAGGAGAAAGGTTTGTCCCGTGGTTTTGATTGGCCCACATTCTTGGTGGTTCTTTGGAAAGACGCCCTCACATTTATCGTCAGGGTGAGAGGTAATCATTGCAGAGAATGAGGTCCCCCTGACTCCAGGACTTTTTTCTACAAAGGAGCACAAGATCCTCTTTGATTTGCCCAATTGTGTAAAAACTGTCAGGATTCTCTGTAGTCTCCTGTTTCCTAAGAAATGATACCAGTTTCAGGAAGTCGCTGGGTTCTCGGGCCTGGCAGTTGGTTTCCCTGACCTCTGAGTCTGCTACCGGAGTGGCACTGATGGGCACCGTGGCTCTCTGGCTTGCAGACGATGACCACTGGATCATCGACACGGACTACGACACGTACGCCGTGCAGTACTCCTGCCGCCTCCTGAACCTCGACGGCACCTGCGCCGACAGCTACTCCTTCGTGTTTGCCCGCGACCCCAACGGCCTGCCCCCAGACGTGCAGAGGATTGTGAGGCAGCGGCAGGAGGAGCTGTGCCTGGCCAGACAGTACAGGCTGATCACCCACAATGGTGAGTGGCTCTCCCTGGCGGTCGGGGAGCTGGGGCCCACATGCCTGTGCAGTGCATTTCGTCTGCACTCAAGAGAAGGCAGGTGGCCTAGGAGCCCCTTTCTGAGGCCACATCTTGATCCTTCTTGACCAGATCTTACTCTGGCCTTTTCATGGAGCTGATGCAGGAGTGGGTAAAAGCCTTTGTCCAAAACCCTGCCACTTTTAATTAAGTAAAACTGCTGCTGCAGTGGATATTCTTTTTTTTATTCTGCTACCTTAGGCCATTTCTGTGGTCACCTCTGGCTACCCTGCCCTGAAAAACCATTTTGACTGAATTAATATTGTTTGGGGGTTGAGTAGCCCAGTGAAGAGATGGGCCACTCATGTGGCCATTGATGAAAAAACTGAAACAGAGACGTCAACATAGCAAGCTCAAAAGAGAATGATTTCAACAAATGTTCTTTTTTCTATATGAAACCAAATAACCATTAAATTAACTAGCTGGTTTTCCTCACTTGGGTTTTTTGAGATCCCCTAGAGCAACCATAGGATCTTTTTATAGACATTACCCTTGTCTGATCTTGATGTAAAAGCCAGGAACATTGTCTAGTTTGATTGGACGCTCACTCCTATGGGAAACTGGGTTTCAAAGTCCAAATGGGGTAATGCTAAAAGGCAGAAAAAAGGGAACATCGAACTGACCCACTACACCAAGCAGATATGAACTCAGACCAAAAACATAAATAAGATTTGGAAGCCTCACCCTGGGGGCAGCCTACACGTGGGGCTGGTGGGGATTTCACCACAGCCGGGCACTGTGCGGAGGCCTTCACCTGCATTACCTCACTTAATCACTGGAAACACCTTACAGAGTAGATACTCTTATCCACATTGGACTGATGAGAAAATGGAGGCTGAGAAAGATTAAGAAAGTTGCCCAAGATCTTCAATAGGTAGCTGAGTTGGATGCAAACCTAGAGTTTTATGACTCTGAAGTCCCTTGGGGTACCACCTGGTGACACGTGACATGAGACACGGTAAACACTCTAAAACCACCAGCAGGCCGGGTGCAGTAGCTCACGCCTGTAATCCTACCACTTTGGGAGGCTGAGGCAGGAGGATCTCTTGAGGCCAGGAGTTTGAGAACATCCTGACCAAGAGCGGGACCCCATTTCTACAAAAAATTTAGCTGGGTATGGTGGTATGCCCATAGTCCTAGCTGCTTGGGAGGCTGAGGCAGAGGATCGCTTGAGCCCAGGAGTTTGAGGCTGCAGTGAGCTCTGATGATGCCACTGCACTGTAGCCCTGGAGACAGAGCAAACCCTGTCTCAAAAAAAAAAAAAAAAAAAAAAAACACCGAAAGTATGGCCAAGGTCAGGCTAACGTGGCCCCCACTTCCTGAAAAAGGAGAATGAGCCCCCCAACACTTTGAAATGGCAGTCAGGCAAGTTTAAGAGAAATAAAAGGCAGCACTGTTGCCTACAGCAGATCCTATACTCTCAACCCCCATCGCCCCCAGAGACGTTCAAAGGGTTTCAGAAACAGCCCTGAGGGTGTTTGTGAATTACAACCACTTCACACTTTCAGAGTTGCAGTCTGCTGTGATGTATTTGCGTAAAGCAGCATCTGAATGAAGCCAGCTCTAAGGCCCTTGTGATATTTATCATCTCCATAAACACTGAGTCCATCTTTCTGTCATTAATGGCTTTGTTTTCTGTATTTCAGGTTATTGTGATGGCAAATCAGAAAGAAACATTTTGTAGCAACATCGAGGATGTAAAGTTTCATGTGAAAACTTCTGATTTACTCTCATTCCATCTTCAGCTCTATTTATCTTAGGAGTTAATTAGCCCCTCTTCCTCACCTTGCGTCAGCGTGCATAAAACCTTCCGTACACGTAAAGATATATGTGGGAATAAGTGAATCTCTTTGCAGTCAAATACATATCTTTCCTGAAGTTTCTTAGGGATCATTTGAGGCTTAGGATTCCAGACTTTGATTCATTAAAATATAGTCATCCATTTCCTATGATTTGAGTTTTTATTTGTGTTCACGTCTGTGTCAAAAGTGAGGAATTCTGCAGATGGGCGGTGGGGTGCGCTTTGCTTTTATCTACCCCGAGAGCATGGCTCTTTCTGACCTTTGGCCTGTTCTAGTACCTAATCTCCATTATTAGAGACTGGCTTCTCCCAACTTCTGGAAAATGGGGTTTCCTCATTAACCTGGGGGGTGGGGGGCCTTAACTGCCAGCCTGGCCAAAGCACTGAGGCCAAAAGAGGAAGTAAGGCCAGCGAGCCCAAGGCTTCAGTGGGCCCAAGGTCTATGGTGAGGTGGGCAGGATTTGAGAGGCTGAGATCCCTGGGTCAGGGTATGCTCTAGAAACAACCCCAGCCCTTCACCGTCGCCAGTGTGCAATTCACTTATTACGAGTGCCAAAATGTTGAGGGAGGCCTCCTGTTTCCCTGGAGGAATTGGGAGATGGGGCCCTGGAAGCCAGGTGTGTAGGAAAGAGCACAGGCCCTCCCTACCTAGAGTGTGCAGGGAGGTGGGGTGTGAGTAGCTGGGACCGGGCAGAACACCAGTGTCCTACACCATCAGCAGCACGTGTGAACTGTAGTGTCGAAACTCATGCAAAGCCACATGCCTCAGTTTCCCAGGGGTTCCCAGGAGTCTCTGTTTCTCATCTTGAAAAAAGAAGCAAGGCTATGGTACCAGAGGGTCTTGGTTTTCAGTCACGGTCCAGCTCGGGTATATAGTAGCTGTGTGATTTGAGGCTGGTTACATGACTTCTCTGAGCCTCTCTCTTCTCTTGTGAGATGTGGGGAAACAGGCCCTGCCGGAGGGGACGTGGTAAGGATTCAATCAGGTGGTGTCTGAACACTCAGGAGCTGTGCAAGCTGCCGATGCCAGGCTGAGGTCTAGGAAATGCATCGGGAGTGGGGAAGGGGTCACAGATCTCCGCCTGGGTGCTGGCACATCCGGGGGCCGTGGGAGGCTCCTGGGTCCCCCACCCCAGTGTGCCTTGTTCTCCACAAAAGAGAGAAGAGCCAGGTGGCCACACATGGAAAGTTCTGCCTTTCACTCAGGCTGCCAGAGCCAGGCTAAGGTACCCATGCATCACTTCAAAAAACAGCTTTACTATACCAAATCTATTAACCAAAGTGAACAGAAGACCCTTGTCTGTTTGTCCTTGAGCTTGTGATCACCATGAATATTACTTCAGAAGCAAGCAGCTCCGGAAGCTGCACGCGCAATGGCAGCTACTGGTGCCCATTTACTGGGCAACACAGATTTGTTGAGCACCTACTATGTGCCAGGCTCTATGCTACTGCATGTTCCAGCCATTGGCCCAACTTCCACATGTTGGCGTGTCCCTGGGTTCAGGCTTTGGCTCTGGCTTCTTCTCCCTCCATTCTCTCCCCAGGATATTTTGTGAACCACAGGTCTGTAAACACCATCTGTATCTCCAAACTTGCATCTCCAGGGTCAAGCTCCACATCTCTGCATCCAACTGCCTATTCTACTTGTATGTCTCACTGGGATTTGGGATTTATGTGCTCCGAATGTAACCCTTGGCTCTGCCAGCCCCAGTCTTCTCTTAGTCGTCCTTGTTTTTGTTGCCGGCTCCACCATCCAACCAATGGCAGGTTAAAAATCTAGGAGTCACCCTTGAATCTTCTCTTTCCCTTACATTCTACCAATTCCCCCTTTCCATCAACAGATCATCTATGCTCCACCTTCCCAAAGGATAGCCCCGAATCATTTCTCACAATGCCTCACTGACGCCTCCCACCTCCAAGTTCCCCATCATCTTGTTCTACTTCCGCAGCTACCTAACTGGCCTCCACTTCCATTCTTGCTCCTCAAAGTCTTCCCTGCACAGCAGCCAGAGTAACATTTGAACACATGCATCAGGTCTCCAGCTGCAAACCTCCAGTAGCTGCCCACCGAACATAGAATAAATTCCCTACGGTGGCCTCCCGGGCCTTGCATGATCTGACCCTATAACTTTTCTGGCCTCAATTGATGGGCCCCAGCAGGTCACCCTCGTCCGAGCCTCAAGGGCAGTGCCCAGCGCAGAGGAGGCCCACCCAATAGCCTGCTCTGCCTGGCTTACAGCACTCTTGTCCTGTCCCACGGGCGCGCCAGCCACCTTGCACCAGCGTCTCTCCTGCCTGCAGAGCCCCTTCCCCCAGATTCGCATGGCTGGCTCTTTCTCGTTGCTTTTTGACACAAATGTCACTCCTCAGAAAGGTCTTCCCAGACCCCTCTCCACCCCATCTAGATTACCACCACTACCACAGCACCCTGTCCCAGATTCTGCAGGGCGTTTACTCACTCTGTCATGACATATTGTTTACTGACTGTGTTTCGTGTTTCTGCCCCAGACTGGAAGGTAAGCCCCCCGAGAGAGGGGCCGGGGCTGTCTGGTTCACTGCTGCCTCCCAGCACCAAGAACACTCTCTGCCACGGCAGGTGCTCAAGGTGCTCTGATGATGGATCAATGAAGAGGTTCACTCCTGACCTCACTCTCAAATGTTTCGGAGTCCTCCTGCCTTCTCTCTGATTTCATGACATTGCTTCTCCTAAAGGGGTCTATGGCATTTTTTATAAATGGAAAAAAAAGTCACCTTTAATTGTGCCTTGGAAATTCCTCAAGTGCTCTTGACATGAATAAATGATCTTAAGGCCTCCTGAGTCCCAGGTGGGAGCCTAGAGTGGCTGTGACCCCGTAGAGGAGAAATCTGGGTCCTGAATCATTTCCAAGACTCACTTCAGAAACCAGCAGGGTGTGGCTTTACATGTAGGAGATATGATTGCGGAACAGTTATAAATAAAAATTTATTAAATTCAATCATATTACAAATATACAAAAAAAAAGTTCATGTTTAAAAGGAACCCATAACAAATCCTTTGATACGGGGAAAATATTGGTCTACCGAATGATCATCCTTTAATGTGCCGGAGCTGCAGATGTGTATTTGCATAAGTTACATTTTCTTAAAGCAGGGTACACTGGGGGACGGTCCTGGAAATTAAGTCCCTTTAAGAGCATAAGACCGCTCGCCAGAGAATGAGGAACCCGGCCTAGAGAGAAAAACTAATTAGCCAGAAATAATCGACAAATCATTTTTTCTAACAGACGTGTCTGTAAAAATGGCTCCCTTTTCTGGGAAAAAGAAACAGCAAAAAACCTTCCTCCATTCGTTCCGAAACAGCGCCATGTTGTAGAGGATGGGGTTCAGGGCCGAGTTCGCGAACGTGAAGGCCACCACCCAGAAGAAGAGGGACGGCCAGATGACCAGGTCCTGCTTGAAGTTCTGGATCAAGATGAGGAGGATGGTGATGATGATGGGGCTCCACATGATGAAGAAGGAGACCATGAGCAGGAAGAGTGTGCGGAAGAGCCGGAAGTCCTGCTGGGACACGCGGATCTGGTGGCTCTCCGAGTGCGCCAGGTTCACCGTGAGCCTCTTCCTCGACGCCTTGGTGATCTGCGGGAAAGCAAAACAGAGCCGGAGCCACAGGTTACTGCGGGAAGTCAGGGCTTTTTGCGTCAGGAGCCCGGGACTTGGAACCTGCCATCCCCGAGGCGCTGGGGCCATGGGGCTTGGGGACTTTGTGTGGAGGGAGCTTTTCCTTCTCCCACCGCCTGCGCTTAGGGTGCACTAGAGAAACGGGGCGCCTGGCTGGCGGTCTCCTGAGAAATAAGGCAGAAAATCACCCACCTTGTAAACAGAGTGAATGAGGGGAGTGAAAAGCCTGAATCACATGGTGTGGGGAGCGACATCTTCCCCGTTATTTCTTTTTCTAAAATGAGTTAAGTCATTAATTGCATACAAGCAATATGTTCTCAAGGTACAGAATCGGACAATATGACACTGACAGGGAGCAAATGAGGAGTGTCAGGTCTCCAGCCTTCTGTACCCTCCATTTCCACTCCCCAGAGGTGACCAAAGTGAGCAGTTCCCCGTATGGCCTTCTGGAAAAGTGTCACCTCCACACGCAATACCTGGCTATGGGATCGCAGGCGTCTGCACTTTTTCTTGGTACACAGAAGGGACCACAGCACGCACCCGGCTCTGAACCTTGCTCCTCTTCTGCTTGGCAGGATATCAGGTGCTCATTCCGTATCAGCACAGAGAAGGCACCTCATTCTTGTTATCTTGGTGGTGGTTGCGTGTACTCCACGGTGTGGGCACCACAGTTTATCCAGGCCCGATTGATGGGTATTTTATGTATTTGGCCTCGTTTGTCTGTTTGGGGAGGCGGTGGCTGAAGTGGCAGTGCACAGTCTCTTCCCTCGCTCCCCTGCAGGTTGCTGAGTGGGCGGAAACGGTGGGGGATGGCATGACGGTGGGGCTGGGCCAGGCAGAGGGGAGCACGGGAGCCTGCCCTACGCCCTTTCCTTTCGAAGGGGCAGGAGGCAATGGATCCTAGTCTTGCCTACACGCCCCTGAGTTGGGGGATAAGGAAGGATGATGGGATTGGCAGCTGCTGTCAGCCCAGAGATGAAGCTGGGTCTGAGGCAGTCTCCCCATGCCTGGCTGGGGTGGGTGTGGCTCGGGAACGATCCCTTCGTCCGTAAGGCCTGTTAGCCACATGGAAATCAGACGCAGTGATCAACAGAAGGGGGCGACCATCTCGCATGGGCAATCCTGCACGGTCCTTGTCCTTGAGGGAGACCGTGGCAGGGCGGTCCATCCTTTTCCTCTACCTCACTCCCGCCCCGGTGCTGCAAACCCATCCTACACTGCGAGCAGGGGAAGTTTTGAACAAGCAGTTGTAACCAAAAAGTGACTGGAAAGTTCTCAAATTAGACATAGATGTCATTAAAGTTTCCCTCCCCCAGCAAGAAAAAGGAGCTGATCAGAGCACTGCTGGTGACATTTACCAAAATTTCATATTTATGCCCCAGTTGAGAGGTGGCGACTGGTGGAATAAACATTCTCATGCATAATAAATTCCTAACAGTGGAACTGCTGGGACCTCTAACATTTTATACCAATGAGCAGGGCCGGCATTCTGGTGGAGGGATTGTGGCCAGCGACAGCAACCCTGCTTGCGTGGGCTTAGAAGGGGGCTCTGGACTCTTCTTCCAGGAGCCCCTCTGGGTGTTGCTCCCTGGGTCTCCTGTCCAGTCTGCTCATTTAGAGTCTTGCTTCAGCATCAGAGAGCCTGGTTTTAGTTAACAATGGGCAGCCTTGCACACAGAAATGGCCCATCAACTGAGGCAGGCTGGCCCGATTAAAATAAAGCCCTGGGTGTCCTCTTATCCCCACGTAGATACAGCGTGTTTGAATCATACAGAAACTTCATAACATCTCAGAACCATAGTGTTGGGGCTAGATGGGGCCCAAGTGTCATTTGAGCAGCACTCCTCAGCCTTTACTGTGCCTGCCAGGCACCTGGGCACCAGAGTGATACTGTTGTAATGTAGAATCTGATTCAGTAGATCTGGGGTGGGGCTGAGCTTCTGCATTTCTAAGAAGCTCTTGCATGATGCCGCTGCCACTGCTGCTGCTGGTCAGAGGGCCACACTTTGAGGAGTCTACCCCTTCATTCTGCGGGTGAGGAAATAGCCTCCAGGAGGCAGCTTAGCCAAGCCACTTGGAAAATAGGAGCCCGGAAAGTGTTTACCTCACAGAGCAAAAGCCCCAGGAGGCTGAGTCTGTGGGAGTGAAGGAGGGGCCGCCATTGAAGTGTGTCTCTCGGGGGCGCAGAGTGGTGGGTGGGCTGGAACTGACCACTCTGGCTGCTTAGGCTCCAGGCGCCCTGGTGACACACACAGTGACCTGCCCTTCCTTATGCCTAATTCTAACTGTCCTCTAGGCACAGACAGAAGGAGGAGGCTTAGCTGGCTGTCCCCCGCATCAGTCGCTCAGCTTCAGTGATGCTAAGAGGTGGGTGGGGTGGGGGTGGGGCGAGTGGGAGTGGAGGGGTGCCCAGCTGGTGCTCAGCCAGCCTAGGATGTGATGGGACATGTCAGCCTGTGACCTCTGTCCCCAAAGGAAGAGATCGACATAGAACCTCTTGACCACGTTAGCCGTCCTTGCTAACTCCCACATGCTCGGGCTGGCTCTGTGTCCTGCTTCTCCTGCGGGAAGAAGCCACTGGCCGCACAGAGGGTGCTTACATCATCTGGAGCCTGCATGGCCCCAGCTCTCTTCGTCGGCTGTGCTGGAACCCCAGGGCCCATTCCCCTAAGATTCCTGAATCTCTAGAGGGGATGTAATTAGAAGGTAATTAGCATCACTCACAATTGGGCAAGTTTAACTCCGAGATCAGAATGGCTGAAAATATTCTCCTTAGAATACTTCCAACTAGCTAATTAAAGGATAGTCACTTAATTGTTTCACGATTAAATATGATTGCTTGCCCTTGCGGTAGTTTAGGTCCACCTGTTGGTGATGGCGACCAGGGCAACAGATGCTGAGTGAACGCACTCCTTCCTCCCCAGCGGCTCGCCAAGGGCAACAGTAACCAGGATCTCTGAGCTTTGTCGACGTTTGTTTTCTCAACCGTCACATTAAATCTTCACAAGGACTCTTGGGAGCAGCAGCTCATCTCTCATGGGATTTGTACTGTCATTATTCCCACTTCACAGATCGGGAAATTGAATGTCAGGAAATTTAAGTAATTTATGGAAGGTCACTCCATTGATAATATTAATGAATGGCCAAAGCCCCCATCTGGGAAAATCCAGCTCAATTTGGTTAGAGAAAAGCCATATGATGAAAAGCTCAAAAGGGGTTGCAGTACTATTCAGCCCTCCCCACCTCTCCTCTGCTGGGCAGGGTGTGGGTTGTGCAGGAAACATAACCACCATCTCTTTGAGCCTCAGCTTCCTCATCTGTCAAACAGGGACCATCAAAGTACATGCCACAGAATTGTTGGGAGACCTGGCTGACAGATCTGGGACAGGAACAGCTGGGCAAGGTGGCAGGTGGGTGGGCTGCAGGGGAGTCACTCTAGGCCTCAGTGCAGCCTGGGGGGGACACGGGGGCTGATTCCCTCATACTACCCACGTTATCCTGCCCAGAAGAATAACAGTGTACCCAGAGTCCTTGGTATAATGACTCATAAATATTTTTTGAATGAATGATGTTGACAGAAGCTCACATTTATGGAGCGCTTACTATGTGCCAGGCCCTTTCCTATCACTTGGCTTAGCTCTTTAAATACTCCCAACAACTCTGTGACATATGTGCTTTGATGGTCCCCATTTGACAGATGAGGGAGCTGAGGCTCAAAGAGGCTAAGGGGTTCAGCAACTTGCCTGACAGTACCCAGCTAGGAAGGTGCAGAGCTGGGCTTCAAACTTGGCAGTCTGTCTCCAGCCCATCCTCTTAGTCTTGTTTTTTTTTTTTTTTGAGACAGAGTCTCTTACTCTGTCACTGGGGTTAGAGTGCAGTGGCAAGATCATAGCTCACTGCAATGTCAAACTCCTGGGCTCAAGCAATCCTCCGAGCTGAGCCTCCCAAGTAACTGGGACTACAGGTCCACACCACCACGCCCAGCTAATTTTTTTTTTTTTGAGAGATGGGTCTCGCTATATTGCCCAGGCTGGTCTGGAACTCCCAGCTCAAGCAATCCTCCTACCTTGGCAGGATTACAGGTGTGAGCTGGCCCCGTTCTCTTAATCTTAACTAGTCCCTTCCCACTCTCTATCTCCATCTATGGGAATCCTTCTGCCCAGCCCTCAACTCCAAGCTGTAACGCCAGGAACTCCAAGAAGACTTCCTGGTTCATCTCCTGCTTGGCATCTGGCAGTGTTTTGTTTCAGGCACTCATGCTGCACATGCCATATATACTGTATGGTAGGCATCCAAGTGTCCTTCCTACCTCTGACCCCCACCAGACTATGGCTCCTGGGGGCTGGGACCTTAAGTGGGACATCCCTGTGCCCTCTGTGGCCAAGGGTTCCAGCACGTGCTTGACGATGATTGTGAGCTACAGACAGACAAAGTGGGCTGACTCACGGGCCAAGTGCATAAATGGGAGTCTTTTTTTAGCACCGACAGATGCTACTGTTTCCTTCTCTCCACAGTTTCTGCAACTTGCAGGGAGTGAGGAGGAAAACGAGGCCTTAGAATCAGTGTGGCTCCTCCCTGCTCCCCTCCCCACGTTGGATGTCAAGGCCAGTCAACACTGATCCAGGATTTCAAATGTCTCCGGCATTGGGCAGAATGCTTGATGTGTTTTAGATTAAACTAAATGCTCGATTAACTCGAATCTTCAAAACCAGCCTCTGGGGTTGGTTCTGTGGTTACCCAAGTCTTGGAACTAAGAGGAGAACTCTGAGAGGTGAAGCGACTTGCTCAAGCCTCATGGTCAAGTGTGCGGAGGGGTGAACCTCACGCAGAGGCGCCTGCTCTCTCCTCTGCCAAGGCAGACGCTGCGGGAGGGAGGACGATGCTCGTGGGAATGGGGTCCGCAGCCACTGCGCACATGGTAAAATACAAATGCTGAGGCCCTGTGGGACTGAGAGGGG